CACTGACATCACAAACAAATACATACTGTTCTATTGGTCTTTCTTATCAGAAGGAATAATTAAAAGAATTGTGAACACTTATTGCAATTCCTTATCAAAATTGCTGACTGAAGATGTCTTGCAAATTTCGCAATTTTCACTTTTGATGGTTTTAATTTTGGGGTGGCGATTTTCCATGCTGGCTCTGCGGGCCAGATGAAAAGCCTTCGCGGGACAGATCTGGCCCGCGGGCCGTATCTTGGGCACCCCTGATCTACAGTATATACAGTACAGTATATTATTACAGTATTGATGAAGTAAGATTTTTGATTCATATGAGAAATAATATGCCATGTAGACCACTGCTATAAGTTGGTTTTTATAAAAGAAGAATTTTCAACCAAATCCTAAATTCCTAAGAATTAACAAGTTTCCATGAATTTTCCATACTGTATTTAAAATCTGCCTATACGCTCAAATATATGGCATACATTTTTATTTGCACCGAATCCCGTCGAATATGAATAAGAGTTTCGCCCAGTATCATGCCTTTTAATTGAGTTCTCACCGAAATGAGGGCGAAATTCAAATATCAAGCGCAACCTTGAAATTCTCAAACTTTGAATCTCCAAAAAATTACTAATATTGTACGAATAATTTTTTTTCAACGATACTATTCAGCATGAAAAGTTATCATATATGAAAGCCTGAGAATATTTCAAAGCAGCCATTTTGTAAAGTCATTTTTCAGTTTCAGATGTGTACTGTAGATTGAAAACTTGTTTCTATATAAATGTTGTTGTTATAGAAGAGTAGAAGACAGCACATATTTTCGGTTGAGCTGCTCGTCTGTATGTCCATAAATACTTTATTTGAATACGCTAAATACAGATTGAATCAGCACCTTTTTGTGCATATTATGAGTAATAATACGAGTTTTATTACGTAACTCAATGAGTCTTAACTCGTGCTGGGTGAAGGTAGTATGTCACAATCTGCTGGTTTCACTGCCAAACACCAATGCGCGTATATTTTCTGGGTGCTTTTAGCCTTTTTATGAAGGGTAATTTGATCCAATAATGCCGAAACTTGCGATGCGAAAAACACACCTGATGAACCCCCATAAACCCTGTATATAATAGGTCAAACTTGGATCATTTCCATAGACCGGCTTCGTACGATTTTTATGTGAAACCGATAAAAGAGCTTCGTATTGTCATGGTCTTCATTATCTTTTCTTTTGTCTCCTTGACATCGAAAGTATGTTCGTGGGAAACCAAAAAACTGACCGTGGATGTAATTGAAAAGGGGGTTTTGGAAAGTTTCATGCGAACAAATCGTGTTCACGATAATATAATGCGCAGATTAACTTTGATGATGATCCTCGATTGATTGTAGATTCCATTCAATTAAATTCACATTAGGACAACAGAAATGACGAATGAAACGTCCAGAGTTTTTTTTGGAGAAGAAAAAAAAACGCAAAATTATTATGCTGCATTTTATTGCTGCTTTATTTTTTCTGCAGGGATCCTTTAATTCTGCTTCTAAATTCCTTTCACATCAAGGAATTTCGAAAAATAACGTTCCATGGGTTTCAGATATTTTAAAAAACCTCAGTTCACATCAAGCACTACATTATTTTGTCAATACTTTCCATTTTTCGCAGCATCTTTAAAGAAAATTCTCCACACCCATACTAAAAATTGATGGATCTCTAGAAAAATGAGCTAAAAAATCTAAGTTTTCATACGTGATTCATTTCCACAGAACGAGAGCGCTTGTGTGTGGAATATGCAAGCTATTTTTCACCACCCCAAATATTTGGACATAACTTTTGCAAAACCCTCCTCGCGCGTAGTATTTTTTTTTTCAGGATACGACATGGGAATGTCTTCCTTTGGTTGTGTTTTTGTAAAACTTGCATGTTGCTCATGCATGAAGTGCATGTGCGTCACACGCATAATATTGGTGAACTATAACAACTGAGTGGGGAAATTGGTGCACACTGGGGATATGTCTGTAATTCTACATAGTGACTCTGCTGTGCACCTGAAGTGTACCAAAGTTCTTCTTTTGCACATGTGTATCCCTAAATGTGCACCAATTGGGTATTAATGCCAGGATTACTCAGGGTCACATTTGTAAACAAATAAGGTAACACCAAGGTTACAGTTGGTGCATTTGTGTGATACTCCTGTTATGTCACATTTGTGCACCAAATTTAGCCCTGGAATGGTAGCAAAATTTACAAATGTACAGAGGTGCATGCTTGTAACCCCAGAATAGCCCATGTGCCCCAGTGGGGAGCTATTCTTTGTGTGACCCCACAACTGGTGCACACTGGGGAAAAAGCCAGTGTACATGGGCTATTCTAGGGTTACAAGCATGCACATCTGTAGATGAAATTTTGCTACCATCCCAGGGCTACATTTGGTGCACAAATGTGACAGAACAGGAGTATCACACAAATGCACCAACTGTAACCTTGGTGTTACCTTATTTGTTTACAAATGTTGTGGCGGAATAATTCGGTACATTATCGTACCGTCCTCCGATTGCGGGTACCGCAAACACCTGCAATAATAAATGTCGATTACTTTCAGGAATCCACAGGAACATTCCAGAACGTTCTACTGGAGAATTGATGCCGCCATTTTCTATCAATCTAAATCAGTACTCTCTGAGATCTTGTTGAAGTCGGTTGTGATTGTGTGATTTCCTGTGATTGACATCTTGGGGTTAATTGAAATATATTTATATCTTTACTTTTGGGATCTTGAAAAGCAAGATCCCCAGGTGCACCCCACACCTGATTGAAGTGTTTCATTTTATAATTCGAAAATCTTTTACCAGCTTTTGTGCTAATTCGGGCACAAAAATTGGTAGCAGAGCGTAAACTTCGCGATCTTAGTTTTTTTAACTTCCTTTTTTTTCCCTCCTGTTGCCCATGGCTACTACATCGTCATCTGGAGAGGCTCTTCCTCTTTGTGAGTCGGATTTGCGTGAGTCTCCTCCTTCTCATCCTGATTCAGACCCTTCCACTGCCCCTTCCGTCGCGCCCTTACCGGATCTTCCCGTTTCTGTTTTGTCTCCGTCCCCCTCAACCTTTTCTCTCCTTTCATCCATCATCCGTCTCGCGCCTTTAATTCTTTCCACTGATCGCGCATACGTTTCCCCAGATCCTTCTGGGCAAGTGTCCATTTTCGAAGGTATTCTTTCTGATTTTACTGATCTAGCTACCCTCTTCGCCATTTTCGATCTTTCTCAACTTCCCCCTCCTTTTACTCAAGACTTTGAATCTCTAAAAACAGAACTTAACACTTTAATTTTTCTCACCCCAGCTGATCTTCAATCCCGTTGGCTTTCTGTGCGGCCTTCCTCTCGTACTCTTTTTGGAATCACTCTTCCTGT